TTTCTAGAAGAGTTGGCGAATAGATATTTCATGACTGAAAGAAACACTTTAGTCTTGATTACTATAGCGTTAATTAACAATTACTGCTAAATTATCATAGATTTAACACCACCTAGCACCAATTTTGTAATATCTAAGCGGATATCGTTTTTATTTATAAAATATTCCTACAACATAGGGATCCCTTCTTCACAATTGAACCAAAGATTGTTACAATCTGACTGAACAAAATAAAAATGGAGAATATAAGACGAAAATTTGAAAAAAAACAGCTGTTCTAGATTGACTTATGAATTATTAAATCCGTCAATCAAGCCTGCTTTTGAATAATGTGATTACAAACAATTCGGGTCCACCATTTTGATTCAAATTGCCAATCTTTTCATGGATATCACTWGAATAATGCATTGTCTAGACCTCTGGAGAAAAAGAAATTGCTATGGAGTACTTTTGGCATCTAACACACTCCAGAAACTAAAGTAAGTAGATAATTTCACATTTTACTCGTGAATCATACCATCCTGTTCTACTGATATCTACTTCTCAAGCATCGAGTCAAAATTGGCATCAAACATTTAAAAAGAAGAACGTTGTTTGAAATATTCTTTCGCAGGAATAAATTCTTTTTTTGAAAACTACCTTGCATAAAAAACTGAGACAACGCGATATATCTGACATGCTGCTGTATGTCGCAAAGATCCTCGATTTAGTCTCCTTATGAATAATTCTACTACACGACACTAGACGAAGGAATCGATAGCGGGGCAAAGAAAATAACTTAATCCCTGATTAGTGTTGTTTTCCCTCAAACATGAAGAAGATAGCTCTAAGTATTAGCGGTTTGCTGTTGTTGGACATGTTAGTGACCAATGCTCAACCTTTATGTAAGTCAGCATACTTGCTTGAAACTCGTATTCTTCAAGAAAACCTTTTGGCATCGTTATATGTCTCCAGTCAAGCACAATGCGAGATGAAATGTAGAGAGAATTCAGGATGTTTTAGTATCAACTATATGCAAATGTCCTATTGATAAATTATGCATCACCACAGGGAATTAACTGTAAAACGGTAAACACCGCGGCACAAAAAACACAAGGCCAGCAGAATTCCAACCATAAACCCAGAGAACGGCATCAAAATGGTGAGTTATATATAGTGCGACATTTGTTTTCATCAAGCCTATCAGTTTTGAAACTTTAAATGACGTCATAAAGCGGCAAAGGAACAAACTTTCAATCTCCCACATCTCATAATTCCTATCACCATTTCGGACGCGTATTGATCAACGCAAACGTTTGGAAGATGCCTATTAGTGTTTTTCATTAACTGTAATTTTAGAAAAGATCAGTTTAGTTTCCAGATGGCGGTTTCCTTGCTACATGCGGTCGGTAATGTTGCCTTTCTTT